CCACTGCTGTAATCTTTCTTCTTGTTTCTTTCTTTTTCCCCCAGCAACTGCTGTAATCTTACTTCTTGTTTATTTTGTCTGTTCGAGCTGCCACTGTTGCAGATTTTCTTGCAACTGCTGTTGTCTCTCTTCTTGTTTTTGTATTGCTGCCATCAAATCTGCTAAGCTGTAGTTTGATTTTCCGCCTCTCGTTTCCATTTTTCTTCTCCTTTTTTTTTCTATCCCACTTCTGGCACCAATTTGTTACGTCTCCGTTTGTTAATTAACTTTCCGTAACTTCGTTCCGACGAAACTTAAGCGACACAAGTCCTTTTTTAATAAAACTGATTTATTCTTTCCGAATATAACTCTGCGATACACTTAATCTCAATACTCGCGCTAAAACAACACTGTAACGAACGAACGTTAACTTCAGCAATACCGTGTGACTGCAGTTCAATTACTCACTATCTACCCAGACACATTACATTCCCCTCTTATATATATCCGCCTAACCTATATCTAGTAAGAACTAGAACATTCGCCAAAGTACAGGATAATTCAAGAAAGGAGAGAGCGTGAGAATCACATGATCTCGATGACGCAACAACTGGTTATGGTCACTTTGATTTATATCCACAAATTTTGTCAAAAATAAAGTAAGACTGAAACAGGTGTAGTTGATTTAGTGATTACCTTTAAATTACCAGTATTAATGTTTGCTAAAATTATAATTCTTGGCACCTTTGTGAGAACAACGAAAGGTTGATACTAAGATAGCCATTAAAAAACTACAAAAGCAGCTATTTGATATTTGGTATTTAGTTAGCTGTTTCCGGTATCATTATATGTAATATTTCCCTTTTCCTGTATGACGTAAGGTACAGCTGTGAAATCTATTATATATATATAATCATTGAGTTGTATGTGTGTGCCTTTGCTACTGCCATCTTGCTGGAGGTATCATTTCTATACAAGAATAATGGCAATGCGTACGAAACAAACTTGCGCGTGTTACAGCTCAATTTTCCATGATTTGCACAAAATATTCTTAATTTGCAATTAAAAATTAAAGATATATATGATAGCCTTAATGTCAAGTTGTCAGAATAACATCATAAATATTTGCAATGGTGAGCAGTAACATTCAAGGAAGTAGGGAGCCTACCACCTGTGTACCGTTTGCATAATATAGACAAGATAAATAAAAAATCGGGAGTTTAAGAACCTGCAAACAGGTATAATAAAAACTAAGGAAACAAGGCTAGAAATACTGTAGAAATTAGTTGATCAAACTACAAACCCCTATTTTGACCCCATGCTGTAACCGAGAATTACATTTGAGGGAGTCAAAATAGGGATTTGTAGTTTGAGCAAATAATGTCAACAGTATCTCTAGTCTTGTCTCCTTACTTCTTTTACGATACCTATTTGCAGGTTTTTAAATCCCCAATTTATTAATTATCTCGGGTGGCTGGATTTTTTTATGCTCAACTATGGGTAAAGGATTACTTGATATGGTAACTGACTTTATACATTGTGATGATAATAAACATAGCTAGTGGCTAGCTGATATGGTTCATGATGATTTACTGTAGCTATTAACTATTTGATCGCATTAGTTAGAAATGTAAAATGTTAAGCTGCACCTGGAGATTGTCATGGAGATTTATTTGAGAATATTGTGAGCATTTATAGTTTCTGTGTAACTAAATTCTCTATAATGCATAGTAAAGGGCAAATATATGCCTAAACTAAGTAAGACATAACTAAGCGTGTATGAAATTTTACCAGTAGAAAAGCAGCCTTTTCAAATAAAACATATACGTCTAAAATATCGCTTTAAATAAACCTTCGTGTCTTTTAATGTAATTATTCTATGAATATATACAATAAAATTTAATATTATGTTTATTGTTTTTTGTTTAATCTTTCACTTCATACATATTATAATGGTAAACTCCTAAAGACACTGATTGTATAGCGTACAGAGCAATGATTATGTACATGTTACAATCATCTAATGTTAATCTATTATTGGTTGGTAATTCATGTTTGACCCTGTAGTTATGCTTTTTAAAGGAACATCAGGGGTAATGATAATATTGTTTATGCTACAATTATGATGTTTTTAGCTTGTGTAAAATATAGAAAAAACAAATCAACTTTTCAATACCCCACGACTTTCGCAGAATCTTATATAGTATTCTATAAAACGTTTTGGTGCAACATACCAAGCCGTTTTTGTTGTAGGCTGGCAAGAGAATAATAATGAGAAGAAGGATTACAAATGGGCCCTTTTGATCAGATTTTCTTTTCGCTGTAATTCTAGCATGCATGTTTTTTTGTGGATTTTTATATGTGTACAGCCTTAGCAGTCAATAGTAAAAGCTTTAAAGTGTTGGTTGAACTGAGTCTTTACTCTTTAGGGTTCTTTTATCCCGAGCGTTCTATTAGGGTTTTGTGCAATTCCTTGCGATCCTATTATGAACCACTATCGAATAAAACTTTTTCATAATTTCAAGAGTTTGTGGGCAGAGCTCATAAACTTGCTCTCGTTTTACACAAACACGGGTGATTTAGTTTTGCGGTAAATTCAACAATAGTTTGACCAAACAGAGGTGTAAGAGGCAAAATAAGAGTGGAGGGTCAAGATTTATTTTAATTTTTCTCATTGTATATCGTACTTTGTGTCCAATCCATTTATTTCTTAGCACAGGTTCAGTTAGTTTTGGTAAAATTCAGTACAATTTTACAGTTTATCTTGTTGATCCTGTTTTATAGGGAATGTTCCTAATTTACTCTTCTGGGAAATCTGTTCACCAGAAAATACTACACAGTAGGTAGGAAAGGGACATTTTTGGTGCTGTGACCACGGATGTTAATGTGGAGTTTTTTATTTATGGGTTTATTGCCCTTATCTGAACTATTTTGTAATTGAATTTAAAATTTTTTTGCTTCTTAAAAAATGCATTATTTGCAAACAAAAGGTCTCAAGACCAAACAGGAGTGTTAGTTCATGCAAAGAGACTGTTGTATCACAGAGTTGTCGATTTTAGGAGAAGTCCTTTCCTGGTTGTTTGGACTTTTGCAAATGCTGAGAGGGTTTATGACTTTGTTCACTCTGCAGCAGCTGATTCAGGAAGATCGGTCAACTTTTGATGCACCCAGAATACCAGATTGAGTGTTGTCCCTAAGAATCTATCTCATTGCAAAGGGAGTACAGACGATTGAGAGTCACCAAGGTGGAATGACATCTGCTGAGTTTGAGACAATATAAGGCAATTTATACAGGACTTCCAGGCCACCTCCAGCCAGGTAACATCACCCCAACTCTGCACACAGAAATATAATTTCTCGTCCATATTATAGGTAAAGATGGGGTCTCTACAAAATCTACTAAAGTAGCACTGATGAGAAACTGGTCTTAACCTGTGACCAAGCAAAAAATCCACAGTTCTCTTGGTTTTATATCATATTACCAATGTTTTATGTCCAACTTCTTCAAGATAGCAGCACCATTGTCTGCTCTCTTTCCAAAATTGAGACACACTTGGTATTCGCCAAGGAATATGAACAAGCATTATGATTCTAAAGTTTGCCTTAGTACAGGATCCAGTACTGGTATATCCATGACAAAACAACAAGTTCCTCTTGGACACCAACGTCGGCAATAGGGAATTGGGGCAGTGTTATCACTGTAGTAGGATGTAGCAGAACATGTAGATGCTGTATATCAAATAAAGAATAGGTTGCAGTTTGTAGTTTTTGTAAATCACTATCGACAGTACCTGTATAGTAGAAGGTTCACTGTACGATTAGATAATGCTTTATTGGAGTGGTTACCGTAATATTTAAAGGCTTTTTTCTATTTGTTAGTTTTTGTTTTATTTTCTCTTTTGTTTTGAGTGCCGTTTCCACCGTAAATATGTATATTTCGTTTTGTGTAAAGTAATATACTGTTATAAGTAGTTTCAGTTTTGTAATTTACTTTAAAAGGTTTATTTTGTTGTATTGCACATCGAATTTGTGTTTTGAGTTGTTTTTTGTATAATGAATATATTTAATATCATGTCAGACAATTTACTTTGTGAGTTTAGTTTGTTTTATGATGTAATTACAATATGAATATTTAAAGGGTTTAGTATTAATATGCAATTTATCATACCGAGCTTACCGTTATATAGCAGACTTACCTAATTTGCTCTTTTACCAAGTAAATTTTATCTGAAAATATCACAGTTTTATGTGTTTATCCTTTTATAAATCAGTTGTGTTCTTCACATTGGTAAAGTGTTTATTTTTCTGTCTTTATATTTCTTAATAGTATAAATATAAACTATTAATGGCTGGAGACGGCTTAAATGGGTAATG